TCCAGACTGAAAAATCGGTATTATTTGTTTATAATTAAAGATCAGTTTCACCTATAAAATAGTCACTACTCTCCAATTCAGTTCCAGTGGCCGCGGTAGCCGAGTGGTATAGGTATCGGACCGTGGCTTGCCTTGTCACGAGTTCGAGCCCAGTACCACTAAAGACCCGCGCTTGTAGGGCAGCGATGCACGTTAAATCTGTCGAGAGCTGAAACGTCCTCCCGTTGGTGTGGTGTGGTAGTTAGGAGAGGGGGGTGCCAGCTCAGGTGTCGTCCACGTCACTTGACCATGGTTCAAAATTACGTGGTCCGTCGCCAAAAGCCCTCGTGTAGCTGAACAGTGCGACATTAATATTCAATCAATCAATCCAATTCAGTTTCATGCCTCACTGTTATTTGTTATTACTAACCATTACAGTTACAAATAGAAAAAAAATCTAGCAATCCATAGACGTACGACATTGACAGCAGAATTGCGATATTTTATTGTTTCATTGGTAGAATTTGTGGCAAAATTTTTAATACGGTGTTCTTAAATAACTGAATTTTTTTAGTATAATGGGCCATGACCGGGCCACTCAGAAAAGCTCAGTGGACCGCAGGTTGAGAATTGCTGGTCTAACTTATAAATCGGCGTTCTAGAAATATTCGATGAAGGCATTACTTGCCATTTCTTAAATTTAAACATTTGCGTAACATTAAGAAAAACAAGAAGACATGTGGAAGAAATAGAACACGAAAATGAAAAAAAAAATATATTAAAATATGTTCTTCTTTATATCATTATTAAGTTAGGATATCAATATTGGAAGACTAATCTCTGAAAGAAGAAAAAAATATTCTCGGTCTGTGTTCCATTTATTTATAAGATACAAAAACAACTGAAGAGTTGTTTATACTCACTTAAGATATCCGACTACGTTCGGAACCATGTTTTTCAAAAGTATATTAATGAATAATTGTTTTGATATTTAATGTCACTTGAATTAGAATATGCATATTAAATTGCTTTACCATTATTATAAGAAAAATAATTTAAGTATTTTTTTGGCAAAAAATGAAGAACGATTATTTTCAAAACAATCTCCTTTAATTAAAAATGCTTCTGTAATAATGTTTTGTCCATATATAGCTAAGACTTATGAGATTCTGTACTAATTTTTGAAATATATTTTTTAGAAGTGGATTTATATATATATTATTACATCAGACAAAAGAAATTTTAACGAAAAAACGCTTGTTTTTGTGTCAATAGACAGTAATTCTAAAAGTAATGTTAATTTTATTAGAATCCTTGTTAAGACACTGTAGCGAAATCTTCGGATAATATTTTACTTATATATAGCTATTATTATAGAAACAATTTTCTTAAAAGTAAAATGTATCATACACATTTTCTTCCTTTCTTACTTAAAACATGCATTTAAATAATTTTTATAGAAATATTCTTAAAATAATTTCATATAAATATTCTGATTCATCCGACTCTAAATATCGAAAAAAACTATTCATTTATACGCTTTTCAAAATCATGGTTCCCAACGCAGTTGTCTTAACCCCGTAACTGGTTTGCCCGTACACTGTATAAGTACTGATTATTTCTTCCTTCTATCTTTAATTTTTATGGTGAGATTTTTAATATTAAGGTTTTTAAGAGATTCATTTTTTATCCATGGTGCTAAAATATTTCTCATCCGGGATTTTCTTTGTGGTCAACCTCTGACAATAAAGTTAGGTGAATAGTCCTGTAACGTTAACGTAGATGAAATAATAACGAAATTTACCTTACTGTCCGAAATAGTCAACTCTTATAACTATGCATCGCTGTGATCTGCTGTACATGTCCATGAAACTTTGTAAAAAGTCTTCTTTTCGGATGGAGTTCAAAAGGCTCGAACATTTTGTTGGATCTTAGGAATATCATCAATATTTTTTATTTTCTAATGGCAGATTATGAACAGTTATTACAGAGTTCATCAATCTACCAAGTACATCACCGAAGACTGGTATCTCCTTTTTTAGTGCGGCGCCATAGTGGCGGATACCAATCGTCCAGTTTCCTTCCTGGAGGGAGGCACCTGAGCTCTGACGATTGAACCTGTACTAGGATTTAATTTTGCCTATTGCACTTCCTAGGGATCTTTTACATGCCGTGTAATTATACGGCATGGTCTCTGTCGATTTTCTTCATCATGAAAATCCATCGACTTGGGCCGGGGTCGAACCCGCAACCTTGGGTACAGAAGGCCAGCGACAAACCAACCACGCCACCCAGCCGACGTATCGTCAATATCGATAACATGTTTTTCTCATCCCTAAATTCTGGGTACCGATTCGTCGCACGGATTAACGGTTTCAATCTGCCGTTCATCAGCTATCACGTGACAGTTATTTGACGATCTTTATTAATTTCCATACTTTCTCAATGTTTTCGTCACTGATGGAGGTCGCCAGTCTTCTGCTACGTAGGTTGTCAGAAACAATTTCCCTGCTTTTCGAAAAACGAGCGAACCACTCGTACACACACTGCATGACAGTGTTTGATCTTCCTAAACATGTACCAGCATCGCAGAAGTTTCTTTTGCTGACTTGCAAAGCTTAAAACTTTAAATTGATCTTTTGTTCCTTCATTTTCCTGTCCTCAATTAAGAACCAATGTACTAAACGAGCACTTTGTAAAACGAGTCATACACGGAACACAAACGACTCTCAACTGAACAACGGTAGGGGCAGATGGCCAATACCTGCCACTATGCATGTGCAGCGTTTTATTTCGCCAGTGTTTCCTGATCGGCCGTTCTGATTTCATTCACCGAACTTTATTGTCAGAGGTTGTATATGCACACTCGCACAAAATCCTCAACTGTTTAAAAAAGAAGTACGAACATGAAATTTTTTTTTGTTGTAAATATGAAAGAAATTCTTTTAATATATATGAAACTTTCTTCACAGCATACAGAGTGTGTTAACAAAAAGCTAGCATTTAAGGTTTTTTGTGTTCCACAATTATGAAATAAAAAATAGTGTAAAACTGTAAACTTGAAAATTGAAGTAAAATTCTTCCATTTTAGCATTCTGTGAAATATTAGTTATACGAAGTAAAAATTTATTATTAGTTAAATGAAATACAAAATGTGCCTTTTTGGAACATTTTGGTAAAAAGACCACTTAAAGGGGTTAAATGTTATCAGTTAATCAATCTCTAAGCGATTTTCATTATTAAGAATAAAATCATAGAAACAGATTCCGATACGTTTTAAACGTTAAAAATTTCCTAATAAGAGCAAAATTTATAAAAACTGTATACGTAAAAAACAACTAATGTAACATTGCAGAATCAACTAATGCCGCTAAATGAAAAGGACGGCTTTGTCGTTTATTCTTGCATGAGAAACTAAAAGAAGGAAACGCACAATTTGATGCATAAACCCACCACAAAAGATTTTAAAGCTGGAGAGAAAAAATTGGAATTATTCCAGAACCTCAACATTTCTGTGTCTCTGAATTCTAGCGAATCATACATTCCCTCCATGTTTATTCCTGCGAAGTAATTTACGTTAATATCGGTCTTTTAAAGTGGCATCTTACACAAATTAACTAAAGGGGGAAAACCATCCTTTCTCGCTTTGTCTTGGCGAGCCATTATGCAAATGCTGATGATTGCTTTCATTAGCATTGTACTCCGAGTAATTAAGCAGATACGCAGAATGAAAAATTGGACTTCTTTTCTCTTTTTTTCTCCTCCTCATAAACTTTTTTGGCTTTTAAAATTAAGCTGCCTTCCTTTTAAGTTCAGGTAATTTTGGTAAATCCCTTTTCAATGTTAATTTTTATACTAGTTGGTTAAATGTGGTATTTTTTGATCAAGATATTTCAGAAAGATAAATTAGGTTAAGCTCGGCTTTGTGTAATTGTGAGAGGTAAATTTATACAAAAGAATTGTCTTGATTCTTTGTTTTTCTTTATAATGTGTTTAAGGTATCCGACTACGTTCGGAACCGGGATTTTAAAAAAGCGCATAATTGGATAATTTTCATGATATTTAGTGTCACTTAGATTAGAATACATGTATAAAATTGTTTTAAGGACATTTTGGCAAAAAAAATTTATTTGAATACAATATTTCGGCAACAAATTAACAGAATAACCTTTTTTTCAAAATGTTCTCCTTTTGTGAAAAATGCTTCTATTTTAATAATTTGCCTGTATATAGCTCTGACCTCTGTACGGAGGCTCAACTATGATTTTTGAAAAATTCACATTATTTTCAGAGTTACAACAAATTGAAATAACAATCGGGGTTTTTTCTTAAAATTTCCCCCCTCTGTTGTCGTAAAACATGGATAAACCCGTTCTTAAGTTATATATTTCAAAAATTCTAGTTGAGCCTCTGTACAGAGGTCTGAGCTATAGACAGGCATAATATTATAATAGAAGCATTTTTCACAAAAGCAGAATATTTTAAATGTGGGTCATTCTAGATTCATTTTTTGTCAAAATATTGTACTTAAATAATTTTTTATTGTAATACTTCTCTTAAAACAATTTTATATACATTTTCTAATTTAAGTGAGACTAAATATCATAAATATAATCCATTTATACGCTTTTGCAAAATCACGGTTCCGAACGCGTAGTCGGATAACCTTAACTTTCTTTAAATACGAATTATATGTGGAATAATACATATTTGATAAAGTTTATTCACTGTAATTTCGGAAAAGCGTATAAATGAATTTTTTTTCAATTCCTACTATTAGTTCACTCGTTCCTTATATATATATGTATATATATATCAGTACAAATTTTCAATCGTTAATAAAATATTTTTTATTCATTCAAGTTCAAATACATTTTTTCAAACTTGTAGTGGATGACACTTGATGTTAATACAGTTTTTCAAATATTAATTCAATTATTAAATTAAAAAATGATTAAATAGTAATAAACAAAAATAATAGTTCAACAGCATATATAGAAAGGAAAAATTGATCGTTGTGTACTTGTAGCGCAATGAATAGCGCATTGGACTTGTAATCCAAAGGTCGTGGTTTCGAATCCCACAAGAGTGGCCTAATTTACGAGAATATTATTTCTTTTTTACTATACTATTTTATTAGTATAATTGAATTTAATGAATGAATAAATAGTAAACAATAATTGTGTCCAACACCCTATATAGGAAGGAAAATGGCAAGAAAAATCGCTTTCTATTTTATCACTTAATATTGTGATTTAATCATATGTATATACATATTTATATTAATTGTAACTATTTAATGAAAATTAACTAAAATAAAATTTTTCCTTGTTGATCTTAGTAGTAATTGACTTAATTTTTTTATATTACTTGTTATATATTTAGTATCACTTGAATTAGAATATACATATAAAAATTTTTCGATCAGTATTATGACAAGAAAAATGATTTGAGCGCAATTTTTTTGAAAAAAAATAAAAAGGAAGGACATGTTTTTAAAACATTCCCCTTTTATGAAAAAGTGCTTATTATTTTGCCAATTATTTATTATTTTGCCAATATGCAGCTGGATTTCAATACCGAAACTAAACTAGATATTTGAAAAAGTCACATTATTTTTAGACTTACGGTCAATTAAAACAACCGGTGTTTGCTTAAAAATTTCTCGGCTCTGGTATAATAAAATATAAATATATCGACTTCTAAATTAAATATTAAATATTCTCAAACAATTTAATATATGTATGTTTTAATTCAACTGACACTAAATATCAAAAAATAATTATCCATTTATACGCTTTTTCAAAGTTATGGTTCATAATGTAGTCATTCAGGGTAGGGTGCTAAAAAGCATAACAAAATTTAATATTAAAGATTAAACTAAAGATTTTCAAAAGTATCCATACTATTAAAATTTAAAATAAAAATTGAATGGAAATTTCTTTTTAAGAAATTAAACATATCAAATTTGGCAAGTGAAGGGTATTACTAAAAATTATTTCTAAAAATTACTAAAAATTACTATTACTAAAAAAAATATATTGAAATTAAACTTAAAATTATTATTACTAACTAATTAATTATTATTAACTTAAAATTATTATTACTAAAAATTATTTATAATTTAGTATGATTTTAATATATTATTAAATGTTTAAAATGTTTGTCTTAACAGAAGACATTACACAACTAAATGAGTTGAAAGGTTTTGTTACTTCATTGTGTTTAAATAAATGTAATGTCTTAAGAAAAGCCTTATATGTATAAATCTATACCAAAAATTTCATGTAAATATATCCCTTATTCATCGAAAAGAATGTATAATATTCAAGTATTAAATCACAATATTTATATCTAAACATTCAGAATTCTTATTTGATAAACATACTTCCTGCATCCTGATATTTAAGAAATTTTTCTTTCTCAATATTGCTGGTTTCAGGAACCAAGAACTTATATATTTCTTTGTTGGTTTTATCCCATTCTTTGTTGATTGCTGTTTGCTTATTCTGTATATCATCAAGGACTTGCCTTCTTTAATAAAAACAATATTTGCTCCAGTTATCTTTCAATCATACCATGGAAGAGTATATCTTTGTTGTATACAGATGATGCGCGCTCCCCAGATACTTTAGTAATCTTTCTCCATTTTCTATTTTATTGTATGACATTTCATTTCCCTTTTCTCTTTCATGCACAGTTTATAGTTATGGCATAGAATTATCTTGCCTTAGAGCAAGAGTAGTCAATGGTTTTGGCTTGAGGGTCAAACCGGGATATCGGAAGACCCACACCTTTTTAAAATGATTGCATTCGTTCGTTGATTTTGCTTTCCAGAAAAGGTATAAATTGTACCATAAAAATCAATAAATAAAAGTTAAATAAAATATAGTGGCAGTTTTATTCAATTTATTTATTGTCTAATTACATATCTGTAGCTATAGACACAAATAATTTTAGAATCAATTTAATGAGACAAATGTATCCTGTCACAATTTTCTACAACTCTTTTTAAATCGGGAGGGAGTTTGGTTGTTGAAATTCTTATCACAGTCTGCTAGTTTGTTAGCCGACTTTCATCTAAATTTACTCTTGTTCATCTTCGTGCAAGAAAAACTTTCCTTCTCTCCCGAGTGGCTCGACAGCCCAGGGTGGTCCTTGGTCTTCTCAAGAAACCTTTTTCATGCCAGCCTTAGTCTTCTCCAGTTTTCTATTCTCAAAACTGGGAGATCATTTCTAGGCCATCAATCCATCTAAGATTTGGCCTGCCCTTTCTTTGTGTGCCAATTGGTTGAGCATTGAAGACTGTTTTAGTGGTGTGGTCTTCGTTCCTTCTGACAACGTGATCTGCCCATTTAGTTCGTTGTATTTTAATGAAGTTAACAATCTCACATTCATATGATTTGATAGAACTCGAAATTGGATCTCCTTTGCCACGTTCCATTTTCTTGAATTCCTCCAAAAATGAATCTTAAAAACTTCCTTTCGTAGATACTTATCATGTTCTCATCTGTTCGAAACATGGACCAAGTTTCTCATGCATAAGTTAGTACTGATTTTAAAAGAAAACCCCTTTGTTTTTCTTTTTGATTAAGTAAGAAAAACTTTAATCACTAATATATTTGACCCAAACACAAAGAATATTTTTTTTCTATTTAATTTTCTGACTGTTTTGACGGGTCGCTTGTTGCCCACGAACAGCTATATGCTTACTTCTGCATTAGAGTTAAAATATAGATCAATGGACCCATTTTTTCAGTAATTTAACTAAAGGCCACATAAGGTTATTGCACCAATAACATCAACGGGCTATTTTGCATAATTGCGATGCCTGAGCTATTGCACATTTTTTTGACTTTACGTGAAATGATGAATTTGTTTTAGAAGTTACGAGAATATTTTGTTTTGGGTAGCATTAAATGTTTCGGCATCCCCCCTCAAATGGATTTGTATGTGTGACAAGAAAAACTTCGCCCTTCTAATATTTGTATTTGTTTAAAAAAAATGCGTGGAATGTTGCATGAAGTTACAAATAATTATGAATTGTTACGAATAAAAATTTAAAAATAATTTTTAACATTTGGTGGAATGCTTTAAGATATAAAAAAAAATATTGAATTAAAGTTAGATTTATTTTTACTTTTTGTTGTGCTAATAAACTATGCTAAGCATCCACATAAAAACACTCGAAAGTAGTGTTTTCAATCATCTGCGTGGAATTGAATTGGAATGTTATCACAGTATTACTAAACATTTAACAAATTATGTTTACTTATTAATTTATTATACTAACCATCATTACAAGAGTGTTTATTATATATTTTGGTAGAAATAATGAAACAAGTTCTGCAAACAGTATTGAATTCGCTAGATTGTTTCCAAAAGAAATTAACTGAATCTTTATTCCAAAGTACTTTTAATCATCCAATAACTTTAATCGTAACTTTGAAAATGTGAATTTTTCAAAAATAGTAGTTCAGGTTGTGTAGAGAAGTCTTAGCTATATTTAGGCAAAATGGTATTATTACAGAAGTATTTTTCATAAAAGAAGAATGTTTTGAAATGCCATTCTTTCTTCATTTTTTTTTCGATAAAATTGAACCTAAATATTTTTTTATTGTAATACTTTATTTAAAAAACAATTTTTGATGTACACCACCCAGTTCTTTTTTTACACGATTTTGAAATAACACAGAACACGAATTTAGCGAATTTTATTTTTACACAAATTTTTTGTTTTAGCAGGAATTCTGAAAAAATTTGGGGCTAAGGAAAAAATCGTCCTTTGGATGAGGACAATTTTATCGAGTTAATGACAGTTTATACTTATAAAGAAGTCGATACTGGTAAATTTGGTGAAATTAAGCTATCAACAGCCGATTTTAATTCGCAAAGGCATGGAATTTACAACAAGTATGGAACAATAATATTTTCTTACTCATGATCCTAACATAGAGCGTGCATTAAAATTTCAACGCAATCTCTTGTGTTGCAGAATATCAAGAATTATATAATCAAATGAGTAATCAAAAAGACAGCTGCTAATAAAACTTTGTAACAGTTAAAAAACAAAAAACTAACAGATGCGGTTAATAACAAACGAAATTCTTCATTTGAATCAAAATCTCCAGTTGTGCTAAAAATATCCGACACATCTTCAGATGATAGCATTTTTGATCCAGTTTGTATTTTTAATTAATTTTTGTAACAAAAATGAGTTGTTTTTGTTTTATAAATGTATAACGTGGGTTTTATTACTGTTTTTTGCACATTCTTTTGGGGAAAGATTAATCTTAAACGATTTTTTAAAATTGTGAATCACATCTCCAAATTTACCATACATCAAATGCATTTTTTTACACATTTTTTTTCCACGATTTTCTGAGGAACATATCTACAAAAAAAAGAGTTAAGTTTATGTCCTAATTCAGGTGACATTAAATATAAGAAAAATATTCACACACATCTGTACGCTTTTTTCAAAATCACAGTTCCAAATCCAATCAGATACCTTAATTGTTAAACATCATCATGGGCATTTTGGCTTGTTCAATATTTATAGCAATACATAATTTTTTTTTAATATTTTCTGTTATATGATTATCAAGAAATGAAAATAAAAAGGGTCATACGTGACTGTTCTCATTAAAAGTTTAATCCCCGTACTTTTATTACTCCGGAGGAAAAGCAGATTTTACTTTTTCACTTAATGGCTATAAAGATTAATTATTCTCGTATCCTCTGAGCTATAAAGTGCTTTGTCTCATAAACAAAATGATGAGCCTCTGTCATCTTAATTAATTTACCTCCTCCTTGTTCAGGGAAGTAATCTTCATTAAGTACACTCGAATCTTCCACATTTTTCCGGGAATAAACAGCCCCTTGGATTCTAGAACTTTGGCGTGAATTGCTTTGTCCTCTATTACATTGATGATGGCTGCTCGCTGAAAATCGTTACCTATCGATTTTTTTTTTTTGCAATTTTATTAGTCGTTAGTACTTTTCTTTTTTTCTTTTTTTTTTTACTCGAGAAAAATTTCATTTTAATATAATTCGTGCCTTTCCAATTTGAGTCCTCTTTTCATATTATC